CGGAGCGGCGGGCGCGGCACGCAGCGCCCGAGGCTCTTGGCGGCCGCCGCCGGGTGGGCGGGCGCCAGCCGAGGGGCCTCTCCATTCATTCCCTCATTAGGGATGCGGGGCCGCCTCCGCCCGCCAGGCCGGATTTCATTAGTGACTCGCCCCACCCGCGGATCTGGCTGTCCCCTCAGAACCTCCGGCGTCCTGCGATTTGATGTTGATTCTTGTATGGCTTTTAAACCATTGGGGACACATGGAGTTCGTGCGAATACATAACGATCCCCCTCCTTCCTCCTTTTTATGTATTTTATTTGTTTCACTGGAGGGAGCATTGGGTACCATCCTACTCTGCGCTTGGCCCATCCTCTGGTTTAATTTCTGGTTTCCCTTGAGCTTCCCTTCAGCACCATTCTGCCCTGAGGTGTTGTTCAGAGTCAAAAGTGGACAAAAGACACAAACGCCTCATGCAAGGGGCTGGCTCGGAAAGCATGTGGAAGAGGGCTCCCCGCACCCCACAGCATCCCTGGAGTGGGTGAGACTTGATGTCTACATTGGCTGATCGTCACTTCCTGGGATACAAGGAAGTGTCACTTAGGCCAGTTTATTCAGGGAGAGTAAGAAGGCTGTCTCTGTGGTCGGTCCGGAACTCTTCCTTCCAAGAGGCCCCTTGCCTTTCCTTCCAAACACCTGCCACTCGAGGTCCTGTGCATATTTGTCCTGACGCAATGCTGTCATTCCTACTCTGATGTTTGCACACTTGGCCTCTAGGATAAAACTTTACCATCGCACTATTCATTTTCTTTCTTCAACCTCGAATGGGAATCTTGGGATGGTGGGAAACTCCTCTTCTCCTAAATGCATCCATTTGAGGAAAGAATTCCTGCGCCAGATGGTTTTTATCCTGACTCATTAAAAGTTGTTTCTGAAAACTTGACCCTAAAAACATGGGCCAGAAGAACCTAAAAATAGCAAACCCATATCTTGAGGGAAATATATATATATCCATCCTCAGTATGTAGTCACTTCTAGAACACCAGCTGCATATTTATTTCTCCAGCTTCCATGTTGTAAACATTTCTTAGTTCCACAGAGCAAATGAAAATCACAAGACCCCTTTGGTAGCCGTCTCTACTGTTCAACAAGCACTTAGGCTTTGGAACTAATGACAAGGCCACAGCCTGAATTATGGTGTGCCCCTGAGACTGCGACACTTTTAGGGTCCTTCAGAAATCGGGGTTCACCAAGATATACTGAAGCATGAGTTTGTATTTTTCTCATCAGCTGGAAGGCTGCATACTCAGCACCCCACTAATACAGAAGTCCCCTGTGTTACAGCTATATCTGCATTAGCCTAGGAGTAAGAAAGCACTGCTAAGCAGGTGCTTCCCCGCTGGGATATGCAGTAAGTCTTCCATCAGTCAGTCGCTTAGATTTCATTCTTCAAAAGCTATTCACATATTATCCCCTGTCCTCATCCTTGTGGTGACCCTGACAGGGATAATTGTTTCCATTTCACAAACTTCCACTGAATCGACTCATTCACAATCATAGCTGCATCAGGTTAATGAGACGCAGAAGAAGATAACTGGAATGTATGGGGGTGTTCGATCTTGTACCAGTCACAAGACCTATGAGCTCACCCTGTAAGGGATGGGGCTAATTAGAGACAGAGCTCAAAGGAGAGCCTAGGATCCGGGCCCAGAGGCTTCCACACATAGAACCCTTAGCTATACCTGCTACACTTTGCTCAAATATTGAAATTGAAATTGAGTGGTTATTATTTAAAGGACACTTTTTATATCATTGTTGAGAAGGTTTCCTAGCAATGGGACCACATTCAAAGAGAATGATTTTTAATAACCCAGAACTATAATTCTATCGAATAAGATAGACAAGAAATAACTCTACCTTTAAAAACTGGCATTTAATTCATAGTAATACCCACAGTCCTAGGTTTGGTATATAGTGAAAATGCACTTTTCACAGGTAAACAAACAAACAAACAACAAAACCTCCATTTTAAAAAAAAGTCACATGCTCTTCTGCTGCAGCATGGCATAAGGGGATATTGGGATGTTGTCACAACTGTTTAACCTTAGTCCTTAATAATGAAATGCCCACGAGCAACATTTTCCTGTGTGGCTTTTTACAGCTGAGACTTTGTGAAAATGGCAGACGGAATGTTTTAAGGCTTCTAGCAATTCTCTTTGGGGCTATTAAAAAAATGTAACGTGTAGTTTAGAAGCTTCTGGGGTAGGGTGGTTTAAACGTTCGAAAAGAAAATTGACGTTCTGACAGAACAAGAGAAAAGGGGATCTGCAATGTGCTAAACCCAGAAAGATGACGCCTAAATAGGGCTGCTAACCATTGGCCCCGTGGAAGAAACTATGTAACTACACTGGCCAGTACTACTAGTGGGCACTAGCTACCCTCTGCTCCTAGGCACTTGAGAAGTCATTTGAATTTTTATTGATTTCATCATAATTTAATTTCAGAAACAAGTTTGATCCCCTGTTTGGGCACTTTAAAAGTTATTTTAAAGTTGGAATCTATTTTTTTTTTAACTCTGGATGTTCTGAAACCTAAACAAAAGTCAAGTATGTCTCATGGAGATGTATCACCTAAGGACTGGAGAGGTGGCTCAGCAGGTAAGAATGCTTGCTAGACAAACACAAAGCCCTGGGTTCAAATCCCCAGCATCATGTACAAAGCCAGGTAAGGCCACTCTGACTGTAACCAGCTAGTGTGGGGGTGGAGACAGAAGATATTTAGCTGGCTTAGCTCCAGGTTCACTGAGAGACACTGTCTCAAAGGAGTAAAGTACATACACTACACACATGAAGTATGAAGTGTACACATGTACCACACACATGTTTTCTCTCTCTCTCTCTCTCTCTCTCTCTCTCTCTCTCTTTGTGTGTGTGTGTGTGTGTGTGTGTCTGTCTCTCTGTCTCTCTGTCTCTCTCTCTCTCTCATACACACACACACACAAAATAACACCTGAATTAGGCTTAACTGTAAGTAGCAAATGTATATGTTTTAAAGAGTAGGAAAAGAAAAGATGTAATATGTCTCACTGAGTTGGATTACATATTAAAGTATAAATATTTTGATACATTAAGTTAACTAACATATATTATTAAAATTAATTTCAGTATTGTTTTGTATTTTCAGATGTAGATACTGAGGAACGCATGCTTGTATAAATGGCTTCCATTACATGTCTGGTGCATAGCCCTTTCCTGTGAGTTCAGAATTGAGAATAAGGAGGTTCAAATGCTGAACAGCCAAAGACCTTGATTAGAAGCTATTAATTATTTATTCTGTGGGAGAGTGGCACTCAGCACACATTTATCAAGTAGCATGTGCCCAACAGATGCTGCTCAAAGAAACTGTTCTTTACCTAATAATTTTAAGCGATAAACAACATCGTTCTTTTGAAGGATTTAGTGGGAAACATATTGAAAACATACAAAGAAGCATGAACAGATTATAGTCGTTTGTAAACAAAGAATTGATCAAGTGTGACAGAGACAGCAGCTTTAACAGTAAGTTCATAAAACCAGAAATGTAGTAAATCAGATATACTAACAATGCCTGATGACAAAGCCTGCAGAATGGCTCAGTGGGTAAAGGCTATTGTGGGACGAGGAGGGCAACCTAAATTCTACCCTCAGAACCAACGGAACGGTGGAGAGAGCTGGCTCCGTAGCCTTATCTCTGACCTCCACGCCCATAATCTAGCACGTGTGCCCCCACCAACCAACCACATGGACAATAATAAATAAGTTAATTGAAATTTAAAATAGATCTAATATCCAACAAACACAGCTGGAAATAGTTATTTACTGAGGGCACACTGTGTTTCCCATTCTATGGGAGACTTCTGCCTTTCCATTTAGTCACTCAAGATAATGGCAGGACAGGCAGTTCTGTATGGTGACAAAGAGGGAAGCCAGCTAAGAAAGAGGCCCAATGCCCACTGAGAAGGAATCGTCATTTCTTTTCACAAATAATCTGGGTCCTGATTGCATCCCAATGGTTAGCGAGGTGTGTTGTCCCGTGTGTCAACACTCATCACTCAGTGTGGAATGGACGAGAGTTTCAAGAGAAAAGATGTATTTCACTTTAAGAACTGTATGGCTGGCCTTGGGAGGTAGCTCAGTTGGTAAAGTGCTTGCTTTATAAACACGAAGTCTTGAGTTCAAGTTCCAGCGCCTACAAAGAGGGTGGCGCATGGTAGTGCAGTTATAATTCCAGTCACTGGGACTTACTGGCCAGCCAGCCGAGCCTAGTCAGCTAGTCCCAGGCCCTAGTGAGAGATCTGCTTTTTAAAAATGTGGAGGGGGTGGGGACAAAGTGGTTGGCTCCAGAGCGGTGACACCTGAGGATGACTTCTGGCCTTCATACATTCTCACACTCAGGCATG